GAGGTGAAACTCAAGGTTCCAGGCTTCTGTGGAAGGATGCCAGAATGAAGAATTGTTTATTTAAAAAAAAAACAGAGGCAAAAAGCTTTTCACTGGCTGCAGTATCATCTCTGCCAGATATAATCTTTTCGCTGAGTATTTTTCAGACTACATAATAAAAGAAGATCATGAATGAAGATCCATCTATGACAACAACTGGGGAAATCATTAGCTGCTCTGATGGCTCTTCAATGCAGAATGTCCTTCAGAATTTTTGGTCAAGACAGCTGTACCTATTGAGTCACAAAATAATACACCAGATGCAGATTTTGGAAGTCTTAAAATTATAGCTTCGCATAATCATTTTCAATTTCATGCCATCTACAATCCCTTTGTCTGACACTGATGGGGCACTGATTGCTTTACATGCTGTGCAAAATCTGTCACATAGTAATGCCCCAAATCATGGAAGAGAGGTGGTTTCCTGCAAAGAATAGGGAAGGATGCACTAAATAGGTGTTTTTTAAATGTAAATTAACCAAATTAAGTGCTGTTAAAAGTACCTATCATTCCGATAGATCAGCACTGTGCTGTAGCCCTTTTGGTGGAAGGTTTCTTAATGAACTGAATAGCATGATTTTACTTCTGTCCATCAAACAAAATCCAGTGAAACACTGTTTGTATTGTACATTGCAGGGCAAAGCATCCCAATCGTGACCATTACAAACACTAGTGAGGAGTGGACTTTCCCTGTTATTAATTTAGTTTGGTTTGGGTGAAAAGAAGCCAGGTTAGCCATTTAACAATTTATAATACACATTGATCAGAATTTTCAAATGAGTCTTTTTTACTAGCTATGAAAAGGTGAGTTTTTCATAAGGACAACATTTCCAACCTCAGACAACAAAGCACATAAACGTTGCCAAACACCATTACGATTATGTTTAATCTTATAAATAAATTGACTGCATTGTCCTCTTAGAAGAGTTGTAAGTAACGAACATAATTTGTTACAGAGAGCTACAAATATTTCATATCATTTAGGCTGCTTGGGAACATTTTTGTTCCTTTCATGGAATAGATAAGGGAAGAGCCACAACATATCTGTGTATGCATGGATACAGTCCTTCTTGCACAATGAACGGGACTGTACAGCCCGTGGCAAGCAAATCGCGAGCACAGCTTTGAAACCTCCTGGATTCGTTACCTAGGCGCCTCCACCGAAATGTCCTGTGCTGAAGTCCGTTCCTTTTCTATAGATATGTTGCTTTTTTGTTTTCCCTTCTTTATTTTATCCGGAGCATCCCAGTCCCAGTCCTCCCCAACCAACTGCCAGTTGCTTCTCCTTTTAGCTGGACTCTGTGTAGCTTAATTGAACACTTCATTGGAAATGATGATGTGATTCATTATACCTTTTAAATGGATTTGTATTGCAGTTGCATGTAACATCCAGCAGCATATTTGGGAATACTTAAAAGTAGATTTAAAATGTTCTTATTGTTGCTGAACTGAAATTCAGTTAATGTCTAATTAGTACTTTTTTTGTTAAACCTGGAGTTCAATTAAATAATCAAGAAATCAGTTGGAACAAAAAGCAGTAGACACTAGGAGGTGGATTGGGAAGTTACAATCTAAGCCTTTATTTATTTTAGTTACCTTTGCAATAATAGTGTGGAATCTGTGTTGTTACAACATTATTGTATTTACTGTTTGTAAACTAATCCTGTCAAACAGTTCTTATAGTATAAAGAGTATTGTTGTAGTATAACATGATACCATGAAACATTAGTAAAGCAGGTTAAACATTTCAGAAAAAATACTTTCTGACTTGGAACCTTCAATAGGTTGAACAGAGAACGAAATCTGATTTATCATGGAATGAAGGATTGACAACAGCATTATGGTCACATTCATCAACTGAGTTGTCTGTGTAGTTAACTTGCATGTTTTATATTAAGACTGAAATTGGAGCTCTGTAGCATTTCTTAATATGTTCATATTCTCTTACAGACTGTAAATTACACGAGAACTCTGATTGCACGTATGCCAAAGTACATCAATAGTAAAGTTTAAATGTTCTCTATTCAAAACGTTAAAAAGGTCCTATTTAAAAGCAGAAGAGTACCATTAAAAATGCATGTACATTTAAATATTCAGTCCAGGATAAAGATGGTCAAACCATTTTCAATTAAAGAGAAAATTTAATAATCATGGCATATAATTAAATTCGAAATCTGCTCAAGCACAAAGAAATGTGCCCTGCCACATAAAGCGTGCAAAATAAGGAGTCTAAGAATATTAATTTAAGAATATTCCTGGTTCAGAATATATGATAGTACATCCTGGGAAGTGAGTTAATAGATACTGTATAGATTAACAAAACATGGTTAAAATGGTCAAGTCCTCCAGGATATATATAGCTGCTGGAGTATAATACTGTATGTGCTGCCAGGCAAAATGACGGGGTATCTACAAAACCGAATGACATCTTAGAGAAGAAGAAACGCCATAAAGCTATTGATTCACATAAAAGTGCAGCAGAAAAGGCTAGACGGGTTAGGGTTTGATGGTTAAACAGCTCTTATTCCTATCTTCATGCCCCCACTCAGGAAAACCACCACCACCATAATGATCACAGTTCAAACAGAATAACACAAACTGTATCAAAGCTTGATGCATCTTTTCCACTGGTATAGAATATCATTCTATAATATTCCCCACGGATTAAGGGCATCGCATCGGAATGTCAGGGCACACATTTTGCAGGCTAGCCTTCTCTTTTTCATCTCGGTTACTTGATGTTTAGTATTCCTGTGCAATAAGCTAGTGATTATGATGTAAAGCATCGCAAGCATGCACAGTACAGGTTGTCTTCCAAAGGATATTTCATGACGCTGAAGAATGAGATAAAATTCGTCTCTTGAAACTGTCACTTCTTTCTACTGCATTTCCTGTTTATGCAACTAAATAATATATGAATTAATTTTAACCCTTTGAGTTTCAAAACATGTTTTCTGAGGCTCCAAAAGTCTCATTTCATTTCATGTCTATAAGGTGAAGGCCAGCTCAATAGTTCGGGATGGCTCCCCTCTCACTGAAGCAGAGTGATGCCCGGTGAGTGTGTGTCCCTACAGGCTCCTGTCCAGGCTGCACTGAGCGGCTCATCACTAATTCCAGCAGGACCGGGATGTGCTTCTCATCTCAAGGACAAGCCGTGTCACACCGGGGAAGAATGTCATGGATATGGCTTAAAGCACAAGAATGCAGCGTTGCCAAACGAGTCTCCTCTTTCAGTGTAATGATAATCTATGCATCTTGTAATCTCTACAGGTGGACTCCAAGCCCAGTCAAGGGCTGTGTTCAGGTGTGTCAGTGCAATCTCTTTGCAGTTTCCTTTTGACATTCTGTTATTTTATTCAGAACTCACATCAGGAATAAGCTGAGTACTGAATAGTTAATGATTAGACTTGGATATTGGATAAAGCAGTTGAAAAATGGATGGATGGATAACTTCTACCTAACTTATCACCTAAACAACTTTTGTGTGCTTAGCTACAAATATTCAGTATCGGTTCATTGTGATTTGGAAAGCAGTATAGCTTTTGGTAGGTTCTATGTTTTATTTTCCTTTTGAAGTTTAATTTTGGAGTCACAGTCACCTTTTATTAACTTTCTAGTACCCAAGGTAACTGACCGCTTGCATTCAATCACTAGGTTATTTCAGATTTGCTCATACTGTAGATCTGTTGTTCCAGGGCACGAAACCTGTCTGCAGCCTGATTAATTTGAATTTTTAAATTTGCCTAAACTGGATTAATAATAATAATAATAATTGCTTACACTTATATAGCGCTTTTTCTGGACACTCCACTCAAAGCGCTTTACAGGTAATGGGGACTCCCCTCCACCACCACCAATGGTTGTTCAAATCCAAAGCAGAATTTATCCAGGACACAGGGATAGCACACCCTTTCTTTAAAAAAATGCCCTTGGATCTTTAAAGTCTAAGTAGTCAGGCCCTTCGCCTCTTCTGAAGGACTCTCTTCCAATACAACGCAGTCTCCCGAGTTATGATACTGGGACATTGGTTTGGCAAATCGAGTGCAGAGGAAGGAAAGAGTAGTAGAAATGCACACTTTGATTTACGGGGTATGTGAGTCATTGGAAAAACGTTTATGAATAAAATATCCACTGTAATAGTTTCCTATGAAATTGATATTTCACTTTTGCACACCCAGTGGCTTATTTTTCATGTATTCAATTCTTGATATGAGATTTAAAGATGTGGCCATAGGTTTATTGTACAGTGTTACATCAATGTGTAAGACAAGTACAGTATATTATATAAAATCATATACATGTATATATAGAATAGAGAATGATGCCAATTCATTGTTTTGAAAACGTTCAACACAGAATATGATACTACTACTGTACAAATATACTTCTTGTTATGAGCTGAATTAATCTCATAGTATAATTATTTTATAATAACATAAAAGGTTTATGAAATACCAGCACAATCTGTTATTTGGAAAGATCCTGCATTTATTTATAAGGCAACATCAAAATTAGCATACACAGTTTTCCACCCTGAGCATTGCTACCAATTACCCTCATCCAAAATGTATGGCTGTGATTGAAACAACCGCACTATTGATCTGATAAACGCGTTGCCCTTGTAGTGAAGAAAAGGTTGAATTTTTTCCGGCCTCCATGTAGCCTAGACGTTATTTTTTAATGTAGTTCAAACAACAACCGAATTAAGAACAAAAATAGCATTGGCGATTTCAGAAGCTGCTAATCATTAAAATGTTTTACATAACCATAACAAGACAGAGATGCAGTATAATCTGTCAGAAACATCCGAATGAATCCTCCAACCTAGTATCCTCCTGTTTCACCGCATCGTCCGGTGTACTCTTAAACGTGAGTCGGATGACATATTGACCTCCTATTAATGTCCTTAGGCGTTTGTCCTTCGAACATCACCAGATGCTTAAAGACTTCAGCTTAAGTGAGATTTATTAAGTGTGCCTCTCTGAATTCCGACGTTGCATCTGGTGCCTGCTTAGGTGAGCTCACTGCCCGCCACGCTGCAGACAGCAGATCCCTGAGAGGTGAGCTGCAGCCCCGACTTCCAACTCTCCGTACTGCAAGCGGAGGCGGGGCTGCGTCGGCTCTGGGTTAAATACTGAGCCCCGTTGATCAAGGCATCCCAGTTTGAGAGCACCAGCTAGCTCACCTTCTGCAACGTCGGCTGCAACCCCGCGCCATGGCCAACGCTTACCTGCAAGGAGTTGAAATCTCCGCAACACAGTTCCTGGATATCTTTCGCCATTATGACAACGATGGTAATTATATCCGTTTTTCACGGATTAGACACGGTTCAGTGCAGAACTTTGCTATGGGAGCTCCACTGTAATTACGTTTAGATGTCCGCATAAATCTTTATTCGCTTGAGGAAATCTCTGTTCCTCGGTGAGAGTCGCCACAGTAATTTAGGCTTTGGTACATTAACAGGTAACTTTGTGTTTGGGCTGAAAGCACGAGAATAAAAAACTTTTCTGTTTAGTGCATGTTTAGTTTACCTTCTTTAAACTAATCGAACGATTAATTCTTATGTTTTAACGTTACTAGTAGAGACCTTTTTTTCCAAAGGTCTTGGTATAGAAAGTATTTTAGAAAATGCGCGCTGTTACAGTACAGTAACCGTTATTCAAGTCAAACTTTTTAAGGACAATGACAATATCATTTCTAACCTTTAATACAGTTAAATGTATTAACTGCAGTCAATCGGGTAATTTATTGATTTGTTAAACTGCACATTTATTGTTACAGGTAATGGATATATTGAAGGAAAGGAGTTGCAGAACTTCATCAAAGAGCTCCAGCAAGCTCGAAAACAAGCGGGACTAGTGAGTACAAATTAAGATTTTGTCAGTTAATGTCTAATGTTTGCGGCGTTTAGCTCGAAATATGAAATTGACTGGCACTGAAGAGTATGTTGCATAAGATCGCTAATCAATTAAACTGAATAATCGGTCGTTAATTTCAGTACTGCGTTTAAGGTTCGGCTAATTGCACGATTAAGCTTAATTCTTGGTATCAAAGGGGAACTGAATATGGGTTTTGATTTTTACAGTATAAGATATTTTTTAGCTTTTAAAGATATAAAATTAGGTGTGTTCCTGTATGTGATAGTATTTAAAATTGTTGAATCTGGAGGTGATCGGAAAACAAGTGGTTTAGTTCGACAAATACAGGACCTATAACTTTTTTGTTGGAATGTTTTGACCCAGTTGCCTTCAAAATCAGATCCTTACACTTAGGTGATAAACGATTTATCTTGTGTTTTGAAGCAGACTCCATGTCAGGTCTGGATTCTCATTTGCTGTCATTTTGCCACAATCACAATAATCGTTTGAAAATAGAGATGCGGCGGTTTATGGGATGCCTTTAAGCGAAGAGTACATGTGCCCATCAGTTAAAAAATAATTTTAATTTGCTTTTTTAAATGCCCAGTGTTGCCGTTGGCACAAGTAATATCAAAATGTGTTTCTCCCAATTACAAAAACAATATGGTGAGTACATCAATGAGTTATACATAACACAAGAATACTTCATTTATACAGTATACTGATGTACACTCTAGCGAGATCTTCCTGAATGTTCCTTAGGAATTACTTTTGTTTTATTGTATATTTCTCTTGGATTATCTGTAGAATGCTACCAATGAAATAATGAATATTGCAGTAAGGGTGACATCATTTCCATAAAGAAAACAGGCTGAACTGTAAACGTACTGGCGAAAACAGTGTTTAAAATTGCTGTGTGTTTTCAAAGGGGGTGTTATGAAGAGTGAAACATAACTAGTCAGTCTACCTCTTCATGCGTTTCAAACGTCTGAATGGTTCCGTTTTACTCCAAAGTTAGTTTTATATGCTGTAAGAAACGCTCTACAGTACGTGCAGGACCGTATTTCCTTTAGCACTCGGGAGCAAAGTGGAAAGCATACCAGATCATTTCTTAGATAAACAGGAACAGATGACCAGTAGGGACCACTCATACCCAGTTTACGGTATGTAGGATGCTTTCTTAGTAAATGGAAACTGTTCCTGGGAGGTGGGGGAAAAATTTTGCGTGGATAACTGGATTTTGTCTTTGCTTTTTTATATTTTCTTACATTGAACCGCCGCGCTTTGATAATTTAATCTCTTGATTGGAATGATATTTAGCTTGCTTCATAAAGACGATCAAACGGCTTTTCGTAGCAGGAGCCTAACCGAGCCGAGAGTCATTAAAATACGGGTGAGCTTAGGCAAACCCACTACGGCGCTGCGCTTCTTCCAAGGCACCGTTAAAGGTTTCTGCTTTATTCGTATCCGTCCATTCACATTTAATCAATCCGATGGCACTGTGAACAAGATAAATGAATTGTGCGACCTCTTAGCATATTGCAATATTGCCTGATATGTAGTGGTACAGTGCATCAAAAATTTAATGATTTAAATTTAATCTAGATTTAATGACAGCGTTGCGTTGTAAAATATATTACAAATGCTTTGGAAGACAGGAACCGCAATTAATTTGAATTAGTCTTCGTTGGGGTTGTTGTTAACTTGGTAAACATATTCCACATTCCAACTTCAGTCAGTTACCGGTAAACAATACAGATACTGGATAGGATACAGTATGTTTGTAGAATAAGCAGATTTGATTAAATACGTGCAAATGTGTGCATTTGAGGAAATGCAAAATACATAAGTGGTCCGTGAAATTGTTTTTTAAATGTGACCGTTTTGATCATTTTTGGGCAACTGACGCAAGTCCTAATTATCATTTCTTCCCACCAATACACTTTCTGTATTGTATCAAAGTACTGTGATGGACAGTTCACAATGGAATTGTGAGATCCTTATGATTTGAGTATCTTTAAGTAGATTTCTTTAAGAATAACAATAGATAGATAACATCCAGGTGGATGCTGCACATTGGTGGTGGTGGAGGGGAGTCCCCATTATCTGTAAAGCGCTTTGAGTGGAGTGTCCAGAAAAGCGCTATATAAGTG